TGTTCTATAGATCTTGTTTTTGGGCTTAAGAAAGTGAGGTCTCGGATTGAGTGTGACTTAATTTTTTTTATGCACACCTATTAGGATTTTAAGGAGACGATGGTCTCCTCTTTTTTGTTACTGAATAATTTGTAACTATTATTATTTTAATTTAGTAAGAGATTTATATCTCCCTTGCAATAAATAGATGGCCTATTGATGATTAAGTATTTTTAAGTTTCTTGATATTGTTTTATCTTATATCCTAAATCTTTTTGACTTAAAAAAAATAATATTTAGGAAACTGGAAAAAAAAAGCTAGAACTGTATATTTCTATTTGGGTCACTTTTGGGGTTTCAAGAATTTGTATGTATGTGCATATATTTCTTTTTCTGATGCACTGGATAAGTAATACCGTCACTGTAACCAAAGCGATTTCCATTATCAATTCAGAACATTTTAAAATAATTTATTATTATTATTCATTATAGTTATATATAGATATTGATTTGGGGTTAAGAGTGAGGTTCGAGATTGAGTGATGACTTAATTTTCTTTTTATACACCTATTAGGATTTTAAAAATATGTATTTATAAATTAGGGATCAAGAATTAGGTCTAGGGATTAGGTTGAACATTATTCTGGTACCACTTCATTATTTAAAAATAAAATTAAGTATATAAGAAGTAGCATTGTAATTAATTTGTACGACAAAGTATAATACAAATTAACCACTTGTATTTATTTTAATTTTAAAAAAACTTATGCCTTAATATTATATAGATAAAAAAAAGAGTATATAACGAGTATAGTTAACGTGTAACGCATGTCATATGAAAGACTGGTGCTATATATAAAAGTGTAAATGAGGGAAGAATAATGAAATTTTTAATATTGTCTTATGAAGATATCCTAAAATTTAAAGTTTTACTATTATTATCTTATTACATCTAATTATATTTGAACTTTCAATTATAAAATAATATTTGTATCCCTTGACCGTTGATTAATTATTTATTTAACGTGTGCTTCAGATAGTGATGCCTACATTAGGAAATAAATTAATAAATTTACTATTATTATCTTATTATGTTTAATTATATTTATTTTACTATTATTAATATTTTATTTCATTATATAATTATCTAAATTATTAATAATAGTTTAATAATTTTAATATTTTATTATTATATTTTATTATTTTTATTTTATTTACAATTATTGTAATTTATCTTCAACGTTGTTATTTTAAATAAATATATATATATGTAAATATGAGGCATTTGAAAATTTTAAATTTTTTAAAATTTATTTTAAATAAATATATGTAGATAATTCAGATTTTGATTTAAAAAGAATATGGTTAATTTTTTTTAATTACAAATTGTACTCTATTTTGGTTGGTCAAAAAATAAGATAAAAATAAATTTTTTTAAGGAAGAAATTATTATTTTTAAACATATCGAATTTAATTAGTTATATTGAAATTTTATTTTAATTCAAATCCTATTCTTTCTATTAGGGAATATAATTTTATTAATAATTTTTTAAAATAATTTCATGATTTTGATTGGCTAAAAAGATAAAATAAAATATATTATTAAGGTTGAATAGCCCTTGGATTGGTTGAAAGTTGCCAACTTACCTTTGAACCTTAATTTGGTTGTTCTTTTTTATTTTTTTTAAAATTATGGTGGTTATTATTATTATTTTGAATTTGTAAGAGATTAAATGAATCAAAATAATATAATGAATATATATATATATATATATATTCAATTTACTCTCTCTTTCTAAAAATCAGCCGCTTCTGTAATCCGTGTATTTAACCACTCTTGCATGAAGATTAAGACTGGCAGAGTACATCGAGGATACAAAGAGGAGTGAGGAGTGAGATTCTAGCTTTGTTTATTTCTTTTATTTCATTTATTATCTTTTGTGTTATGTTCATATTTGAAGACAATTTTAGCATAGAATGGAAAAATATTTTGTGAAGATAAAGATTAATGAAAAATATTTTGTTGATTTTATTTTGTTAACTAGAAAGTCTATATATACATCCTTTTATATTTTTTTAATACCTTTTAACTTGCACGACTCTTTTTCTTTTTTTTTTTTTTAAGAAATTTTTTATTTTATTTTATCTG